CGATGACAGAAAAACATAAAACAAACAAACACTAGCGATTGTTCCCAGGCCAATCCTAAAGGTACAGTCAACCTTTCCCAGACAAATGGATGTACTATGGCCAACCTATGTGCAGAGAAACTGGGTCCGTAGACAGCCACTCTCAGCGCAGGGCACTGGCACCACGGGCCCCAGGCTTCCCTGTCCATTGTCATAGGCACTGCATAATGGTATGATCTAAAAAAGCAAATGCTTTTCCTCATTTAAGGTAATGAAACAGAACTAACCATGAGTAGAGTACGACTTTAGTGTCCACCTCACAGAGCATCGTGTGCAGAGCCTGGAACAGTGATATGGTTCTTGGATTTTGCACAGACCATCCAGAGGCAAATATACCCTAGTCAAGCCATGTCTGTGAGTCACAGGACAGTGAGGATGTGGCTTTAGGAGAATGAACAAAGAAGTTTCAGTTCGGGAGATCAGTGTGACATCCCAGGCATCAAGCACCAGGGATAGCAGGGGCTGTAGGGCACAGAAGAGGAAGAGTCCTGTGAGTGAGCACTCCCCACGGAATCTGCAGAGATGAGGGTAAGTCTCAAAACAGTGAATTGCTGGAGACTTTTCCCCAGGATCCAGAAGACTCGGGCCTGAGCACAACTCACTGCTCGGCCGCTGGCGTTGTCCTTCAGGACTGTGCCACTGGGAAGTCCTTTCAAGACTGTGCCCCCGAGGTTCTGCTTGCTGCAGATATCCTCGCCTCCAGAGCCTCTCAGTCAGGCTTCACGACTGTGCCTGCTACAACCAAGTCAGGCTCCCAGGACAGGAATCCTTTCCTCTCTAGAGAAGGGATCGTCCCCAATATTTTAAAACCCCAGGAGCATGGCATAGCCATGTGCTTAATGCAAACAGTAAAATAGAGGGGCCTGGAAGTCCCAGACAGAAATGCAGGGACAAGTCCTAGACAAACTGAGAGGTCACATGGCTATCAAAAGACCGTTGGGCACAGCATAAAAAGATTTGTATTTTCATTTTGACCTCCAAAGTTAAAGTGCAAGAGAACTCTGCACAACAGCTCAAGGGCTTATCCTCCAATACACAAAACCAAGGGTCAGTCCTGAGCAGACTCTTCATGACCCAACAGGTCGCTAAGAACAGGACCTCACAAGCTCTGTTGGATAGACTCCAGTAGAGAAATTGGGGATTATCCATAGATGTGCTCCTGCAAAGAAAACTCTATACAATGAACCAGCTCAAGACCCAGTGTGTTGGCATGTCTGCCACCACAGGATTCCCAAAAACACAAAACATTCAAATACTAGCTGTGTTCATCACTCCAATCCTAAAGTACATGGTCAAGCAGCCAAAGGCAAATGGAAGCCGTGGGTCATCCTATATGCAGAGATCCTGTGTCCTGAGCCAGCGATTATCAGCACAGGGTACAGGCACTATGTGTCCCAGGCAGCCCTGTCCATTTGTCTGAGGCACTGCCTATGTAGAAGGGTACAATCTGGAAAAGCAAATGCGACCCCATCTGAAAGCAAGGAAATCTTTAGGCATTACTTTCTCTGTGTATGATTTATCTTGAGGTCCTGTCTGCAGTGCAAGGCCACAGGGAAAGGTCTGTATCTGGTCCACCTTGGAGTACTGTTTCCGGAGAGGATATGAATCGACAAAGAGGTGATAGTGCCGTTTGAGGTCTCACCATCTCCTAGTTCCGTCATTGTAGTTAGTGGCAATTATACTGTAACGAAGGAAACAAAAGTCTTTAGATTTCCTTCTGAGGGTGGTGTTTGGGCTGAGTCAACCCTACAGGACCAAAACAAACAAATTTTTAGGACTGGAGAGAGTGCTAAGTCAACCACGTAAGACCCCAGCCTAAACGTCATCTAACCTTGTCTTTCTCCTGATCTGCTCTCACCTGATCTTTGTGTAGCTGTGTACAGAGGCACCAGAGAGCCAGCCCAGTGTCTACCCAAGTCACAAAGTAGGCACAGTCATCAGGACAGTAGTGTGGCATCCTTGAGTTCACAGCAGATGAATCATGGCCTCTGGATATCATGACGAAGAATAAAGGACCTAGGGACCCTAGGGACTTCCTACTCAACTAATTGGAGATGGGCAACCAGCTGAGTTTTCCAGGCCCTCCCAGCTTGGCCTGGATATCAAAGCCATGTTACTCTATCCTATGTCTGCCTTCAATCTCAGAATGGTGGCCTGCATGTCACTGACAACTTTTCATGACGTGGCAGGTGCAGAGACCCATGGTCATTTGTGATTTCTTCTGGTACATTGTGTATACAGTACCCATCTGACTATGGGTACAATGAGCATAAGGTGAAGGTAGAAATACAAAGGTTAGAGCTAAGGCAGGAAAGGCCAGAAGTTAGGAATGAGTAATGTTAAAATATAAGAGATAACTAGAAATAAGCTTGAGACATTGACCAATCAGTTTTGTAATTAATATACTTTCTTTGTGATTATTTCAGATCTGAGGGCTGGGAAATGAACTAACTATCAGTGTCCAGTTAAATAATGGTGCAAACATAGGCCAATTACATCCACATAAAACCTGAGAGAACTTGGGAAGGAATCTGAGACACAAAAGAACAGAGTTAAGAGACGAAAGAGCAGTGTTAAGGACGGCTTATTGGTAGCAGCATTTTCTCAGGTAGGCTCTATTTTCTGGCCACGAGCAGAGGCACGTCTTCTTTAAGAGAAGGCTTCCAGACTCAGCCTTAGCAGCAAAACTGACCAGCTTCTTTAAGAGTCGGCTTCCAGGTTTGTGCTGATTGCATGAAACTCTGGCTCTTGCTGGGGGTCTTGAACTTAAATAGGCTCTGTAAACAGTGTGCTATAAACTCCTCATGGTGACATAGATCCACTGTGTCCTTGGAGCTGGGGCAGTGACCATGACAAAATTGGGAGCATGGGGATGAGGGAAGAAGGGAGGGTGGAAGGGGAGGAGAACTTGAGGGAATGGGATATTTGAGATGAGAGCATGGAAAGAGATATTTTAATTGAAGGAGCACTATGGGGGCTAGCAAGAAACCTGACTCTAAATTCACAGAATTAACAAGGATGGCCCTAGCTAAGACCCAAGGCAATAGAGGAGAGGGTGGACAAACCAGCCTTTCCCTGTATTCAGACTGATGAATATCTTAATTGTCACCATAGAACCTTCATCTAGCACCGGAATGAAACAGAGGCAGAGACCCACAGCAGAACATTGGGCTGAGCTCCCAAAGCCCAATGGAAGAGTGAGGGGAGTGAGAATATGAGCAAAGAGGTCAAGACCACGATGGGGACACCCACTGAAACAGTTTAACCCGAGCTGATGAGAACTCACCAACTCCAGCTGGACAGGGAAGGAATCAGCATAGGACCAAGCTAGAGCCTCTGACTGTGGTTGGCTGTTGGATGGCTGGAGCAGACTGCAGGGCCACTGGCAGTGGCACCAGGATTTATCCCTACTCCATGCACTGGCTTTGGGGAACTCATTCTCATTGGATGGAACCTTGCTCAGTCTGGATATAGTGGGGAGGCCCTTGGACTTTCCACAAAGCAATGTGCCTTACCCTCTTTGAGGAGTAGATGGGGAGATGGGGGACTATGGGGGGAAGGTGGAGGGAATGGGAGGAGTGAAGGAAGTGGAAACTGGGATTGGTAATAAAATGGAAAAAGATAATTTTTTCCTTTTTTAAAAAAATAAAATAAAAATTAAATGGGCCTAATTATCATTTTAATTGAGAAGTAGCATTTTCAAAAGCCATATATTCAATTATTATTTGTATAGCTTCTGAATTTCATATCATTCTATTTACTGATATATTTGGTCGTTGGAAGAAATCTGTGACGCCTTCCTTTGGCCTGCATGATTTTAGTAGATGACTCATTTTTTTTCCTGTTTCTCCAATTCTGCCCCAAGCATTCAAAGCTGCTGCATGGCAAAAATCCATGGCATGGTCATCATATAGAGAATGCCATGGTGCATCATCATAAACTCCCTCTCTAGGAAGTTGATCTTGGGAGATTTCCATACCTCTAACCCTATTTTGTTCTTCAATGGTCTAAGCCTCTTCTCAGAATCAGGAACATCATTGCAATTGTTGGCCAGGCCCTGAGAAAGCTTTAATCAAGTCTATGCTGTCTTTAGGGAGAATTCTCTTACAAACTGACCATGAGTTTAACACCTGTTTCACAAAAGGTGAATGCATGCTATATGAGACTATTGCTTCCTTGAACCTTCTTAAATCTAACATTTTCACAAGAGTCCATTTAACTCTTGCATAGCCTTGGGGAAATCTATCATTTGGCAATTGTTCCTGTAAGATGACTGGATAAATTAAAGTTGGCTGTTTGAAAACCTTATGCTCTCTTCCTCTCTGTTCTTATACGGCAATACTGAACTTGTTTCTCCATCAAATTCCTCTGTCTGGATTTGACTCTCTCTGTGATATGTTTTATTAAGTTTTCCTAAAACTTCTTAGGACTCAGATTTACCAATATTTTTAGTGATATTTACATCACTAAAGCAGATATTTATGACTGACATTAAGTAAATCCCATCTAACATAGTTCTACTCTCATTTAATCATCCCAGTTTCAAACTGTCCACCATATAATCATCCAGAGATTGAAATTCCTCCTTTGAGATGTGTGGGATTAGAGGAGGAGGGGAAGATAGGGAAGGAGAGAAGCCCTGACTCTAGAGTCCTACCTACTTCCTCAGATTGTTTCTTTGAAATCTTGAAACCATATACAGATGGTCCTCAACTCAAGACGGGGTCACATGCCAAAACCCCATCCAGGTATGAATTTCCTGATTTTGAAATGGAATGATCAGACCTATCAAGATCACAGCTCAGGCCTGACGAGCTTGTGTTCAGAACACTTGCTTCAACTAACTGCAGTTAGGCAAAGCCAAGCCACACAAACCCTCACTGATAATTAAGCGTTCAATAAGGTAAATGAATGACAATGGCACTGAAAGAAATACAAAGTGTTGATTGCTGTGGACTCACCTGCCTGGAAGGCTGAAAATGTGTGCATAGGACCACGCATGTCAACCACTTCTTTATTCTTCTCCAGTGAGAACAAGTGTCTGCAACAGAGCAGGTTGCATGGACTCTGAAATCAGAGAGAAATTCAACCTTTATGGCTATGGGGAGGGGGAGTCAGGAACCTGGAGGTGGTGGCCATTTAACCTACAATGTGGAGGCCTTCACCTTCCTGGGAGTCCACAGGTGTGGTGTAGAGCCAGAATTCCAAGGACCCCTTCAGCTCTCCCTGTCTGCACTGCCCTAGCAACCTCCTCCCCTTTCTGGTCCCCTCAGCCTCCTCCACCCCTCCCATGCTTTGAAATCTGCTGTCACTATCTCCTCCCAATGCCAGATGCTGCAAGACTCTCAGGCTGGGCTACAGTTAACAGTGTAACACTGAGCTCTGGGGAGGTCAGAGGCCCCAGATACTGTGACTTCTATACTGCTGGGCAACTCAGCTTCTCATTCAAGACTCAGCAGCTCCAGCACCTCTGAATTCCCAGCAAACGCCACAGAGGACAAAGACAGGTTCTCTGCTGGTGGGGATCCTTACAGGACACCTGTCAGCAGACAGATTAAGAAGGGCTGAGCGCTTCTCCATCCTGCAGCACCAGAGACCGGGCAGTTAAACCGCCAAAGAGCAGGGAACAGTTCAGAAACAGGCAGCCTGATTGGCTGCAGGCAGCTGGTCCTACCATGTGATTCAATGGTAGCCTGTGATTGGCTGAAGCATCATTGCTGGGATTGGTTGATCGATGGCTACAAGAGTATCCTGTAATATTAAGCTACAGGTTACTCAGTAAATCGGGTTACAGATGTCTTTGTGTGGTGGCCACGTGAATACAAACTATCAGCCAAAGCCTGGATAAAGGTGCAGGTCAAACAGGTTAGAATTTCACAGCCTCAGGTTGATCATCCTTTTCCTGTCTGGAGGGACTAACACAAAACGTGAGTTTGACCAGTGAACCTTCTGCCAGGATCACAATGATCTGCGGCAGTCCAGACAGACATCTTGATCCCACAGTGTCAAGTTAGCCAAACATTCCTGGATTTTACCCTTTTGTTATTCAGAGGCCTTCAAAACACAAGGACTGTGGGCTACAGATGTTTACATTGGAAAGGAACTTGTATAAAAGTGTAAACCTAAAATCAATTGCGTTGCAAAAAGAATAAACACCAGTGAATATATATTTTAATCTTTGAAGTGTCTGCTAGATGATACAGTGTAGAAGGAACAGGTCTTTTGTTGTTGTTGTTGTTTCGTTAGCTTTTTTGTTTTGTTTTGTTTTGTTTTTTACAGAAGCCACCATGAGACAGTTCAAGCAAATCCACTGGAGGGTCTGATGTGGGAGTCCCCTCTGTGATTGCCATTAATGAATAAAGAAAACTGCCTTGGCCTATTGATAGGGCAGAACTTAGGTAGGTGGGGAGGACTGGACTGAATATAGTTTCTGTATGTTTATTTTGGTTCTGGGTGGCCGGGTTGAACGAGTAACCAAGCAGCCTCCTCCAACAAGGGTCAGCTCTCAGAGGCAGCTCAGCAGTTGGTGGATGATGGTGGTGCAGGCTGAGAACCACATGTCCTCTACTGCTCTTCTCCTGTTCCCAAAATGTGAGCTCCATGAGGCTCAGCCACACTCCTTTCTTCACTGCTGAGTTCTCAGGGCCTAAGACAGAGCCTGGCACATAGAAGGTTCTCAGGAAACCTTGTCAGATAAATGACTGGCCACATTCGCCTGACAATCTGTCTCTGCTCTTTATAACTTTTGCTTGCATGAGCATGTGCACACACACACACACACACACACACACACACACAACCCTCCAGTGTAGGGAACATCAGCATTCTTATTAAACCCAACCATTTCTTAACTGATTCCCTCATGTGACTTTGGTTTATCTGTCATACAGACACTAGAATTTCTCTAAGATTTTCAGAACCTAGGGAAGGAAGCCATATTTCTTTTTTTTTTTTTTTTTTTTTTTTTTTTTTGGCCTCATCTTTCCCACTTGACAGGCTTGTACACTTGCTACTTCCTGTCTGGAATGCCCCTTTATCTCCTCCTCCCTTCCACCTGCCAGAGCTAAATTCTTACAAATATCTGCATATTTCATGATTCACATCTGTCTTTCCTGAATTTGATTTTTGTGCCTTTTGGGCATTCTCACAGTCCTAGTCAAATAGTCCTGAGTGAAGAAATACAACTTTAAAAAAAAAAAGAAATACAACTTTAAAGCTACAGCATGGAACAGTAATGTTTCTGTAAGAGACATAAGGAATGCAGTAATGGATATGAGCAGGCGTGCTCTCAAAAGATCTCAGAATGTGCAGACCAGCGTGTGTGAAGTCTCTGCTGGGAGAGGGGGTGAGGAGAACGTGTGGGTTAGGACGCACTAGATTCTTCTGTCCCTTGTTCTATAGCCTTTCTTTCTTTTCCACAGCAAGGATGCACGTGACTCACAAGTCAGCTGAGGTGGAGCCCAGAAACAGAAATGGAGCCTGTGCCATGGTTACAGGGCTCATTTTCCTCTCCATGGGGTGAGCTGTATTAGAATAGTCCTAGTCACCTGCTCACCCTCTTGTCAGTCCCAGAAGGCTTAGAATTCCCATCACGTTAACAATGGCTTAGATTGAGAAAACCCTTACTTCAATATAAAGGCTGTTCCAGGATTTAAATACTCATTTAATTTCAAGAACAAATGGAACATATTAAGACATTAACCTTTGATGTTGTTCAAGCCTGCTCTTAGGAAATCCAGCTTGAACAACTGCAGCAAAGGAGAATATGACGTTACCAAACACAACCCCACACCTGTGGACCCCAAATGATCTTACAGAAGTCTGCACTTGATTCTGGAGGAGACACTTGAGAAGATCTTGAGGCTCCTGATTTCCTGTTTCCTTCATTTGCTTCCGTAAGCCTGATGCTTTCGAGACTATCCTTCCCACACAACTGAATGCTTGCAATAAAGAAAGAGTGGTAATTACATAAACTCACTAACTGTGGCATTAAGAACAAGTCAGTGTGAGAACTTGGGTTTCCAAACACAGAGATTGACCAGCATTTCAGGATAAAAATCTACTTAGGGGTTGTGGAGATGGCTCACTGGGTACAGTGTTTGTTGAAAAGGCATGAATGCCTGGGTTTACATCACTAGCAACCACGTAAAAACTTAGATGTGGTGGAGCAGGGGTCCATAACCCCAGTGCTGAAGGGCAGAGTCTAGCAGATTCTGGGAGCTCAGCCAGTCTAGCCAAACTGGCAAGCTCCAGGTTCAGTGAGAGACTGTGGCATAACATACGGTGGGAAGCTGGAGGAAGATGTTCTGAGGTCAGTCTGTGGTCACCACACGCCCCAGCAGGGGAGTGCTCCTACACACATACTCAAGCATATAAACTCCAGTGTACCACAGCTCAGTCTAGACTTCATCTGGAAAAGGTTAGAACATGTGCACACTGCACCGGGTGAGGACTGGAGGTGGGATGAGGACTTTAGCTCAGTGGACTGTCTCTTGCTCAGGCCTGGCCCCTCCTCTTTGAAACTTCTTGTCTCTGCTAACTGAGCAAGCAATATGACATGAGCTTATGATATGCTCTAGTTTGTACTCTTCCTTTGGTGTACCTGTACTGTGTTTTTCCAGGCAGGTTAGTTTTTTTGCTTCTTTGGTTTTTGTTGTTTTGTTATGTTTTTTGCACAGGGTTTCTGTGTATAACCCTGGGTGTTCTGGAACTCACTCTGTAGACCAGGCTGACCTCAAACTCACAGAGATCTATGTGTCTATGCCTCCCAAGTGCTGGGATTGAATACATGCACCACCACTACCTAGAAGGTTCATTTCTTTTTTTTTTTTTTTTTTTTTTTTTTTGGTTTTTTGAGACAGGGTTTCTCTGTGGTTTTGGAGCCTGTCCTGGAACTAGCTCTTGTAGACCAGGCTGGTCTCGAACTCACAGAGATCCGCCTGCCTCTGCCTCCCAAGTGCTGGGATTAAAGGCGTGCGCCACCACCGCCTGGCCGGTTCATTTCTTTTTAACTAATGCTAAGCCTCACCAGTGGCAAGAAATAGCAATGCCTGAAAGGTGATTCAGAAATAGGCTGTCTTAGGAAACACCTGGCAGAGTCCCTAGGCGCACACTCCAGGGAATTCAGGCCATGAGAAGTCACCTGACTCCTCTGGGAACACCAAGGGCAGGAAAGCAGATAAGGAAGTTAGGTCCAAAGAGTTCCCTCTTGAAACACTCATTGAGTCCAAGAGAACTGCACCAATGTTTGCCAGGCCTGACACTGAACAGGGGCTGCTGTTGTGGAGGAGGAAGGGAGCTGAAATCCTCAGCTTATTTTGGATTCCTTTTGTCTCATCAGTGATGCGCAGGTTCGCTCAGTGTGAATACTTCCTCCTCTGAAAGACCCAAACAAAGTCATAGTAGGCAAGCCATGGGCCATCCCTGCTGGGGATCTTCTGAGGTGCTTTAAATGCTCCCGGCACTCTGACCCCATTTGTGCTGGGACTCTCTAATGACAGCTGCTGTCAGTTCCTACTGCCTGCTGCTGGCTGCTTCCAAGAGGTTAAAGAATTTCATTTCACAGTTCTCCAACTTCGTTGCACAAAAGAGAAAAAGAAAACCCACCAGGCTCTCTATTGTATGTGCAGAGTGATTTAAAGGAAGGCTTGAACAAATAGCATAAAATATCTTGGGGGTAACTCTGACCAAGGAAGTGAAAGATCTATTTGACAAGAACTTTAAGTCTTTGAAGAAAGAAATTGAAGAGGACACCAGAAAATGGAAGGATCTCCCTTGCTCTTGGATTGGGAGGATCAACATAGTAAACATGGCAATTCTACCAAAAGCAATCTATAGATTCAATGCAATCCCCATCAGAATCCCATCAAAATTCTTCACAGATCTGGAGAAGACAATAATCAACTTTATATGGAAAAACAAAAAACCCAGCATAGCCAAAACAATCTTATACAATAAAGGATCGTCTGGAGGCATTACCATCCCTGACTTCAAACTCTATTACAGAGCCTACAGTATTGAAAACAGCTTGGTATTGGCATAAAAACAGAGAAGTCGACTAATGGAAT